GGATGGGTGGATGGACAGGTGATGGGTGGGTGCACAGGTGGATGGGTGGGTGGATGAATAGATGAATACATGGATGGGTGTGTGTGTGAATGAATAAATGGGTAGGTGGATGGATGGGTAGGCTGGCGGTTGGGTGCCTGGGTGGATGAGTGGGTGAGTGGGTTGGTGTGTGGATGGATGGATGTGTAGATGAAGGCTAGGCACACTGACCCTCATCCTCGTTGTGTGCATTAGACATTACTATTTTCAGTTTACAAGCAGGAGGGAATGCCTGGAGGCAAGTGTGATCCATGTCTGGCTTACTCTGTAAAATGGCAACACTCAGATTTCAAGAAACAGAGGGGAGCAAAGCCCTGGACAGGTTTGGGCAGCAGATGGGTGAAGAAAAGGAAGAAAATGGGTTGGAAAGAAATTGGGGCAGAGCTGAAAGGGGTTTCTACTCGGTGCCCTCAATACAGAGGACACAGCTTTGGCTGATTTGAGAAATGAGTAATGAAGTCTGGGGTAAGCATAAGCCAGAAATGTATGACATCATATTAGCATGGAATCGGAGTGTAAGATTGACTCCTAAATCCTATTTGGCTCTGACAGCAGGTGGACTGGGGTTGGGGATTTGCAAACTGGCCAAGGTCATCCCTGGTAGTCCTAATGCAAAGTGAAGGTCAACGGAGATTTGATAAATAAACAGAAGTGCTCAGAGATTCTGCTGTCTGCATCAAAAGGGGAAAATGGTCAGGCAGCTCTGCTCTGTGAGGCTGGAACAGTCTCCCTCTTAAAGACATAAGCCCCATGGACCCCTCATGCCATAATTTTCAGAGTAATATGATTTTTGACAAATTCATTAAGCAATAAGACATGACAGACTATAAATTGCTTTGCTGTTAACTTATGTCCACTCTATTTTTAGGCATCCAGCCAAAGCCTGGTCCTACCTGAGAGCAAAGATATAAATTGCCATTGTGTAACCGGCATGCGGAACGCTTTGTGAGGATCAGAGAAAGGTGCCATCGTAGGCTCCTCCACTCAGACAGTGAGACCTGCACCTCTCTTCAGAACCAGCTTCCACTGAGGGCCTGTGGGGGCCTTGCCCCAGAGAGCATTATCAGGGCTTGGGGAATGCACATGTAAGTGACAAGCCCTGCACACAAGCTAGGAAGTGCTTTCTCACAGAGCACAGGAAAAGGAGTGGCTGACTCTAGAGTTTCCACAGACAATGGAAGATATCGGGCCGCCTCCAGAGAGAAGACACCTCCGAACTGGATGATGAAACAAATGCAGACATTCCTCAGAAGAGGCTATTGCATGGGAGTCTACCGTCGGCCGACACTGAGCCTGACCAGCTAATTTCTGGCGGGAGTCGGCTCAGATTCAAGGGGTCAGCACAATAAAAGCAGCAGCACATTCTCTTGGCTTTGTGAACTTTTGCGGTATTTGGTCCAATGACATTCAGCCACTGGCTTCTGTCAAGCCCCATCCTAGATCCCAGCACTTGGAAGACCTGGGGTAAATTAACTTTGTTTTGTAAGCTCAAGGTTAGGTTCTGGAGTGCGACAAAAAGAGACATTCCTGCCATCAAACGTCTACAGGTGGCTGTGCTTTTCTGTAAAAAAAAAAAAAAAAAAAAAAAAAAACAAAAAAAA